GAGCCCGTATAAGGCAACAATATTTTCTGATGCTAATGCCTCAAAAGATTGAACTTCACAAAAATCATCTTCTATAATTCTTGGTCTGTGCCCTTTTTTTACCGCTTCTTAGGAAGGGAATAAATCACCGTAGCACAAAATTAAGTAACATTGCCCTTTTTCTCTGGGACTAAGGCCATCTTCAGGCAAAAATTTGATCAGAGAACGATGCTAAATTAAACATTTCTGAGCAAATTAACACATTTACATCATTCTTTAAAGACTTCTTTTTATTATACTTCCAAACGCGTACGAAACTTCCTTACTTATTCATTGAATATTGCCACTACATGTTTGAAAAAAAAAAAAAAAAGAAAAAAAGAACCTATTCCAAACAATTTTTTATACATGACGCCGAGAACTTTCTTATATAGTACCTATTCTAGTTTATAAAGTATCTAAATAAGTAAACTGAACTATTTTTGTAGTTTCATTATAATACCTTTCAGATTAGTTACCTCACACTCTCTCCTTTTTACCTGTCGCCAATCTAGTGTGTAGTATATATGTACATAAGTGAGGGAGGTAGTGATTTTATCAAAAATTTCGACAGTTAATTTTCAGTAAATTAGAGTCCCCATAACCTGTTGCTTTGCTATTTTGGAGTAGTATCTGCTTGTGTATATGTATGTAACAATTTGTTCGCCTATGATAAGTCTTCAGACTTCCAAAATTTCCTTATCCGTGTTTAACTTTCCTGAATTCATATTGTTGCGAATTTTGTACATAGATATATGATTCTAGTGCAGTTATATGTAAAATTGTTCTAATTTTTTTTTTTTTTTTTTTTGTGTGTGTGTGTGTGTGTGTGTGTGTGTAATGTAACACGAAACAAATTTTAAGCTATGCCGGAAAAGTAACATTAGAAGGACAAGTGCATTTAACATTGAGTAAATGGGTATCTCGGTAATTTGGTGAGATATCGCCAAGCTGACAACTATTTTTGCGACTTATTTTGTCAATAAATTTGATATTGTCTGCACAATATCCCCCCGCCTTATATATCAAGTTGTTTGAATCCAACCTATAAATAATGGGTTTAATAATTATTCCTGGTGTTTCTCAGGGAAGAATGATTTAATTTTGAATTTTAACTTAAACGCCTTCTTTATGATCAAAATATACAACGAGAATCGAAAACAACTTTGAATCTTTCGCATTTGAAGGATTTGTGTAAATGGCTTTGAAACCAGCATTTTCTAATTTGTTTTCAGAGTGGCGATCATGGTTTTTATCACCTCTTTAACTACACCTCAGTTTTTGCAAATGCACAACAGAATTTATTTTCGAACAATGCTTTGAATAATTTTGAAGTACAATGAAAGTCTAATTGTGCGCAATAGAATAAAAATAAAAATAATCCTGGAATAAAAATAGTCCTTCGGTCAGTGCATGCTGTTGTTCCTCCTCATCATATTCGTTTTTGCAAAATATTGCGCGACATTATAGGAAGATACTGTTGTTTGATTCTCTTTCTTATACTGTCAGAGGCCATCCGACCGGGATAGTGGTTAGCGAAGCTGACTGCCGTATCGCAGGCCCTGGTTCGAATCCCAGACAAGACATGGATGACTGTAAATGTACAGTGTCTTTGCAGCATGGAGGGCCCTTTAATTATGCGGCGACTCGAAATTCCTCTCGAGAGATTAATGGTAGGGGAAGATGGGTTAGAATCTCTTGGGCCCGTCCCCCGCGGCGCGATATATCAAAATTGGGTGAGAAACTGAGCAAAGTCATACTGTCACCTGTTAGATGCTCAAGGATGTTGCCAACAGCAGGCGCAATCTTGTGTTCCTTGCTACGATGGATTTCGTGGGCTTGTTCTGATGTTACAGTCAGACAAGTGCGAAAAGTCCGGGACACAATATGTCATGTACCGTCCAGCTAGGATACAAGACATTATCGTAATTGAAAATGTTAAATAGCGTCGAATGTAGTGAATATCAGAATCAATTTTTGTCGGCTTTATTAAAGGAAATTCTTTCGCCATTTCGTTATTAAATTTGCAACTACATTTTTGTCTGCCACTTTGAAGTATTTTGAAAAAAATCCAAATTTAAAATTTTTGTTAATTGTACTAAAACTTAGATTATTAAATAATTGTGCCAACCAAGCACTAGTACATACGCAAGTCCGGTGGTCCTTTGCAGGAAGAAAAATGGGCTACCACCCGATCACCCGGGCACATATAGCTTTTTTATTATCGCAAACTTAACAGTATAACAAAATATCCTACGTATCCCCTACCAATAATTGATCAAATCATTAGAAAAATTCGTTCGATTAAGTTTATGACAACCGTCTGGTTATTTTCAAATCGCCATAAGACCTGAAGATGTTCAAAAGACTGCGTTCATTACAAAGTCAGACGCCTATGCCTTCTTAAAAATGCCCTTTGGGTTAAGCGGAGCGTCGGCTACTTTTCAAAAAGCAATGGAAATAGGTTTAAGGCCAAATTTGGGTAAAAGTACAATCATTTATCTTGATGATGTAATAGTTACCAGCGAAACATTGGATTAACATGTGAAACATTTGGAAGAAGGTTTTGCCTTACTTAACGAGGCCGGTTTTAAAATAAATGCAAGAAAGTTCAAGTTCGCGGGGAAGGAATTGCGGTACCTTGGGTACAAGATTTCAAATAAGGGCATAGAGACCGATAATTTCAAAATATTAGCGATTAAGAGTTATCCTCCCACAAACACGGCTAAGAAATTATCTTCGTTTTTGGGCGTGTTCCTATTACAGAATGTTAATCAAAGACTTCGCTAAAATTGTGAATCCTCTTCTAGTGATGAAAAGAAAGAAAGCTGGATTTTTTGGACAGCCGAGGCGAACACCGCTTTTGAACAACTAAAAAATGCCCTAATTAATGCCCCAGTCCTTAAATTCTCAGAAGGCGAACAATGCCTAGAGATTGCTGCAGATGCATCCGATTATGCAATTGGAGCGGTGCTTTCCCAGAATGGGCAACTTATAGCCTTCTTTTCGAAAACTCTAAATTCTACCTAAAGGAACTATTCAGCAACAGAGCGAGAAACGATCGCTGTTTTATTAGAGGTTCAGAAATTTCGTGTCTACTTCGGAAGTTCTCCGATAGCAGTATACTCGGACCATGCGGCAGGGGGTCGCTTGTATTCGGGGAACCATTTATAGTTTCGCCTGATACGGTGGACATTAAAGTTACAACAATTCAATTTAATTATAAAACACATGCCGGGAAAAGAGTATTTAGTTGCCGATGCCCTTTCAAGAATAAAAATAGATGTGAAAGGAAATACAGTTAAGTGTGCTATGTTCACCTCAAAAGTTAATGAGTCCCTGGAAACAACAGTTGAGGAATTAAGAAAGGACTCGGAATTCAAAGATATTTACGCTTATCTTGAAGACTCTGTAAAGTTTGAACATACAGATTTAACAGCTATTCGCAATAAGGCACAGCACTACGAAATAATCGACAAACTTCTATTCTATACCAAAGTAACAAATGATAATCAGGAATAACGACCAGTGATCCCAGCGAGTCTACGTTTAATTTTTTTTAGAAGATTTGCATGATCTGCCCTCCGCTGATCATTTCGGAATTCGAAAAACCGTACAGAGGGTACGCAATTTTCCCTAGTTACAAATACTAGTTACGGCGTATGTTAAAGCGTGCCATATGTGCCAGTTAATAAATTATGTTAATTACAGCCCGGTCGGGTATTTAAAAAACATAAAGACCACTTTCCCAAATGAAATGCTTGGCATAGATTTGCTTGGACCCTACCCTAAGACGGACAAAAATAAATAAAAATAGATATTTGTTAACTATTGTAGACCATTTTTCAAAATCGGTAGAAATGGTCCCTCTTAAACGAGCTTCAGCTAAAATAGTCGCAGATTCGTTTTTAAATAAGTATGTGATGTAGCCGTTCCTCAATAGACACTAATGCCGGCTAGCTTTAAACGGATTTATTAACAGAGCACACAGGAACGGTTACAAACCAAAGAAATATACATAAAAATGAAACATATACCAAATGGAACATCAAACATTGAGAATAACATAACATAGTAAGCTATCATCATGGCGCCTGGAGGTCGACTGACGTTTTTTCATATCGCCACGAGATGGCGTTTAAATAAAATAGTTCGGTTACAGTTCATGAGTTCATGGCGTGAATAAAATAGTTCAATTACACTTAAATAGGTCTGTTACAAGTATATTTTAAAATACGAGGCCCCACTAAAAGTAATATCAGATAAAAGAAAACAGTTTGTTAGCAGTATATTTAAAAAATTGTGCACAGGACTTATCATACGCCATCTAAAAATGGTACCATATAGACCACAATGGAATATTGCGGAACGCGTAAATAAGAATATTGTAAAAATTATCAGGGATACGTTAAGAATTTTCATGACCACTGAGACAGCTATGTCAATGAGTTAGGTTTTGCCTTGAGAACAGTAAAGTACGATACTACACAGAAGACTCCCGCGAAAATACTTTTAGGAAGAAAAATCATCGCCTTCGGATAAGCTCTTCTTTGTACAGCAAAGGCAAGAAGAATTCAAGTTAAAAGACACACAGAGGGTTATCGACGAAGCAATTAAGAACTCTAATGTAGCAAGACGGAAGCAAAAGTTGTATTACGATAGAAATGGAATATAAAGTGGGGCAGAAAGTACTCAAGTTGAAACACTCATTATCATCCGCACGCAAAAACAGGGTGGCGAAGTTTCAGTCCAGGTTTTTGAAGGCCCGTACATTGTTGAGAGAATACGGGAAGCCACGTTTTATTTAAATGCCGAAAATGTCCAACAACTGGTCGCAAATATCGACCACATAAAGCCTTACTATAGCCGAAATGATTTTCAAATTTTACAGGATCCTGGAAGGGAGAAAAGAATTCCGCCAGCTCAAAAGCCCAGCTGGGTCCCCAAGACAAAAAAGAAAACAGACTGATCAATCACCGACCATGCGGATTCAACCAGGTAAAGGTCCAGGCGCACAGAAACGTAGGAAGGTGACGCCGACGGACCAAAGAGCCAGAACCGAGGATTCAACGAAAACACCAGTACCGCCGGCTAAGAGAGTGAGGCCTGTAGAGGAGGTTCCAGCGAGACGGAATTTTCAATGACGTACAGAACCAAGAATACGTAGACCGCGTTTTCCATCGGCAACAACTGCGAGGGAGGTCCAAGGAGATCCAGAATTGAGGACGAGAAGAGATGAAAGACCAGCTGATACAACCGTGACTGACCAGAAGTTAGAAGGTCCAAGCGCAAGTTCAAAGACCCTGAAGGACGGATGGCCGTTCCAAAACCCACAGCCGTTACACAAGAATTTCAAATTCCTAGACAAGGGGGAAAAGAGAAAAAGGAGTGAAGCGAACGGCACGGAAGCATCAAAGTTCTAGAAGAAGGTTGGAGGGTCATGAGGTTTCCGAGTTTGAACAATTCTGCCAGATCAGGATGGAGGAGTACAGAAAAAGATAAGTGACAATTTCTTTGAAGTTCAACTTATATCATCTTGTTATAAGTTGCTAAAGATTCTTAGTATATTTAAATCGCAAATTTCGAAACTTAACTGTAAATAGTTTGAAATCGAATAAATTTATGTTTGCAATTTGGCGAGAAGCTACTAGCAGTAAAAAAAAAAAAAAAAAAAAAAAAAAAGACCTTTTAAGTTGCGAGAATTAAATTGTGAATATGTTTAGTCGGAAAGACTCTTTGAATACTGAAATCTGTTAACTTATAGTTAAGATTTCGTGTATAGATGGTAAATTGTAACAAAGCAACTATGACTGTTGATGTAAAGTGAATTCAAAAGTGATGTGTAAATATCTAAATGTTCATGTTAAAGTAGAAATGTTTAACCTTTCTGTTAAAGTGTCGTAAATTTAAAACTTTTAGAGGAGATAAATTTTGGCATCCCTGTAAATGAATTTGTGAAAGAATTGAATGCTTTAGAATATATGTATATGTCTGTTTAATGTTAGGCTATCCAGTTAACACTTTTAAAAGTAAATTTAAGCTTTCGCTTAGTACATTAGGAAAGTGAGGTCGTGTAGGGAGTCTAGTGAGGTCTAGTATGTCAAATGTAACAAGTTAGATGTTGTGCAGCGGTAGGTTTGTTCGCGGTAACACAAAATAAGTGCCCTTAGTACAAGGGGCGATCAAATGAAAAAGGTACGAAACGACGTAAAATCGTAACAGTTAAATTTTTGCATATTCCGCTATGGCAGAACGTAAAGAGACATCTCGGGATGCGATTGGAGTCTCTGACTGGGATCGAAGCATGCGGGGTCGCCCGCATGGGCAGGAAAGAGCAGAGGCTCTTATCAAAAGGGCGTTCAAATGATGCGGCAGTCCGTATGAGGACAGGATGGCGTTCGCGTTGCAAAATTCGACGAATGAGCAGCGAGGTGTTATCCGATTTCTGACAGCGGAAGGTGAAAACTGGCAGTTACTCATCGCCGGATGGTGACAGTTTACGGGGAGAAATGTGTCTCTGACAAGTCTTTCAGGAAAATGGAGTGCTCGTTTTCGTGCAGGCCGTGAGAGTGTGGGTGATGACCCGAGACCAGGCCAGGTAAACACTGTCATCACGAGCGATCTCATCGACAAGGTGGACGACCAAGTGAGAAATAATCGGCGTGTCACATTGCGAATGTTGGCGGTGAAGGTCGATGTCAGCTATGGAACCGTGTGGACAGTTGTTCACGACAGGATAGTGATATCGGAAGGTGTGTGCCGCTTGGATTCCGAAGCAGCTCACCGACCAGCAAAACGAACTGCGTATGAGGCACTGCAACATCTGTTTCGGTATCAGGAAGACCCCGCTTTCATGGGGCGGATCGTCACAGATGATGAGACCTGCTGCCATCACTACGAGTCAGAGACAAAGTGGGACAGCATGCAGTGGAAGCATGTGTCGTCACCTCCCCCTAAAAAGTTCAAAGCTGCACCGTCAGCAGGCAAGGTGTTGCTCACTGTCGTTTTCGACGTTCAAGGTCCGCTACTTGTAGAATTCCTCGAGCGCAGAAAAACCATTATCTCCGATGTGTACTGTGAAATACTCGGACGCCTACGCAGGTCTATCAAGAAGAAAAGACCGGAGCTGCTCACGGAGGGTATGGTTCTGCTCCATGATAACGCGCGTCCACACGTCTCCAGAGTCACACACATGGAACTGTCCAAGTTCAAGTGGGAGACGTTGGACCATCCGCCCTACAGTCCGGACATGTCGCCCTGCGATTTCCATGTTTTTGGTCCACTGAAGAAACACCTGAAAGGGGAGCGCTTCAACTCGGACGACGTACTCAAGGACGCTGTGGAGGACTAGGTCTCGTCACGGCCACAGGAATTCTGGGAACAAGGAATTCTGCGGCTTGTTCATCAGTGGGATCGTTGTGCTCAGGCCTATGGTATATATTTTGAATAAAGTCTACATTTGTACCCACCGTGTCGTTTCGTACCTTTTCATTTGATCACCCCTTGTATATTTCACAACATTTGCTGGAGACCACGGGGGAGACAGAAGTTTAAGTATGAATGAAAGTGTATGAGGGCCAAATGAGGCAAATAAGGAGTAATTGTAGGAGATATGGAAAATATTTGCAATGTACAAAACTAATGTTGTTTCCTTCCATATATGGAAGGTCCAAGACTAAAAACAGCTGAATAACGTATGGATTAATAGAAGAAGTTGATGTTTGTCCAAAAATAGATGAAAATTATAAAATTTTATAAAATTGTCTAGCTTTAGTCTAGCTTTAGATTTGTTGTAAAGTTGGTCCTAACAACAGAAGTTCACGTTCAACAGTAACTCAGCATTACACTGTGAGGAATCCTACAACTATGAAAACGGAAAGACGGTTCTCAGACAAAATCTTCAACAATGAAACCCCGATCCCATCCAACCCAGTAGTAGACTTTATCCGTAGACTTCTTATCGTATGAGGGTAAGCATAGCTTTATGGCGCACTTACTAAGAGACTGGCATCCCTCTTCGTCGATGGTCATTTATTTACTACCAACATAAAAGTATACATTCAGTTGTAATATCTAATTGTTTACCTTCTGATGTGACAGCTAAATACGCGTAGGAACCACACAGGAGAAAAGTAAAAAGAACACTTTATTAAAATCTTTGTTGTTCACAGTGTATCGACTTGATGCTAACAAACCGCGCCTCACTCGGCTGGTAACTCAAATAACAAGAACTAAGCTAAAAATTCGAAGATATTAGCAAGCAGTAGAATTACTCTACAGGTCTCAGATAATCTTAATACAATATCTCGTATCTTAACCCGCGTGGAACTCTAGTGGCAACAAAATAATAGCTGTTACCCCACTTTAACCAGCAATAAAAGCAGAACCAGAAGCTCAGGCTACAAAGGTACGTCGCTTGCCCACACTCTGTAACTTTCCCTTCGAGAACTCAGTATTTAAACCTTTTCTGCCTCAAGGTAGAATTTGCATTACTTCACGCGCGCTATCAAATTTAAATATTCTGTCATTGAGAAATAGGAGAATTAGGCTTATAGGAAAGAAAGGAAACTTAAATTGAACTGGTTATTAAAATTAAATGTAAATCTCCTACACATTTAGCAAATTTCTGATAACAAGCTGTAAGATATAATACTGCACTTACCTATTTTTAATACAATCTGCCTTTTTCAATACAGCAATCTTACTTTGGACTTTCGAGAAAGCAGCCGTAAATGCCAAATTTTAAGAAAAAATGAACTCGAGCCAGTAGATTTGTAAGTGGATGTTTTCGTATGATTATTTTGTCGCGTCGAAAAGGCAGTCATGGCAGTGCTGGAAAAAACTTTAGTAGAATTTCGGGCAGACGCATAAATTTCATTTCTCACTTCGTTGCATTTCGCCAGCTTTGCATTTCGTCACGAGGATCTGGATTTCAGGAAACGTAGAACTCGGCAATATGATGAAAAATTCAAAAGAGACTCTAGGGCGCTGTAGCAGATTTTTTTAGCGAATAAAAAAGAGCAGAGATCTCATATATAGAACTGCTGTCTCTAATACTTTAAGCCAATAATGCAGTATAAAAAATTGTTTCCTCATAAAAATATGTCATATAATTACATTTCTTCCTTTTTTTTACTCTTATACAAAGTATATTTTTATTTGCTGTTTGAAACAAGCACATGCTTTTATTTTATATACAGATTTTAGTTGTACGGTAGGACTAATGCAGAGAATTTTCCTAAAATTGTGTTAGGGTCTAGTGTTAGATTCTGCGCAGGAAAGGATTATGCAATTTACTCTAAAAATGTTATTATAATTAACACCTGACAGAGATTATGAAAAACATTTCAGTATTTCAATGCTATGCATTAAGCACCTAACTGTCAAGCTGATGGGACAAATGTCCCTTTTTAAAAAGTATGTTTTATTAATCTGCTTATTACTTAAGCAGATTAATAAAACATATTTTATTAATTACTTCGAAAATTAAAATGCAATTACTGTGCATTTTAATTTTCGAATTGGAATTATTAATGCAGTCTTTAAAACTTTTATTGGACTGTTTTTCAAAAAGACAATGTTCTGAGATTTGAAACAGATGAATTTAAGAGGCAAAAATTCTTATCAGATACGAAACTCATCTCTTGAACAGCTTAGCCATTTTAATGTTTAAGTTACACAAATAAACTACTAAATTAATGAAATATTGAAAATAATCACATCAGTAAAGCAAATTAAAAAATATGGTAATAACAAGCTTAATCATTAAATCTAAAATAAATTAGTAAGAAGATACTGAAAGATTACAAATCTCAAAACGTTTTCTTTCTACTATTTCTACTAAATTTTTATTCGATTAAAACAGTAACAGACGATTATTGTTAAAGTTTAAAAAATTAATATTTAAGATAACTGAGGCTTTACCTTTGCTCAAATGGAAAAATATTAGATACAGATAAATGAAAAAGTATTCTTCTCTACGCTAACTGCAGAACAGACAATTCTGCTACGTTTGCATTGTCCTTAGAGATAGCAAATTAAGCAGTCCTTTTCCGGATTCGGTTAAGAATGCCTTTGAGAATTGTTGCTTAGACTAGGCACGAGAATTGTTTCCGTTAATTGAAGATTGTTCTGGTTTTTTTCATCATAAGTTTATACATATAACTCCAGTTGCTCCTAAAAACGAAATCCATCGCAGATTTTCCATATACATCCATTCTATCCCAGATAGTAATCCATTACATAAATTTCGTTGTTCTGGAAAATGACAATTAATGTTTAACATTGTGCTAAAATGTTTAGGATTGTTGTACAATCCTTAAAAAGACTATAGTGTGCCATTAATGTGATAATTTTTAAGCCTCTTTCTACCACGCGGTCACTATAATGGTTAGCAATGCTGACTGTCGTACCGATAGTCACGGGCTTGGATCCCGGAGAAAGCTTAAATATTTGTTAAGCGCACAGTACCTATGCGACATGAGAACATTTGAAATAATGGTGTATTGAAAGTATGTAAGGCCCAAACTTTTTAGCTATCATGCAACGTGACTAAATCTCAATTTCCAACCTGGCGAATACTCGCACAGGCGTAAAGATTAACGCAATAGGAAAAGTGTGTAAAACGCCCTTTTTTTAATCGCAGTTCTTTAATTGAAAGGCGCAGATTTGCTTGTGGGAATCATATCGACTACGACTACCTGCGGTGAGTACTTAAAGATAATTTAACAATAAATTCAAAAGTTAAAAAGTAGTGCTAGTCTGCACAATTTAATTTAGTCTAACAGGCTGACTCGGCAACCTACAGCAGCGACAGACTAAATAAACGGCCAGAATGCGTAGCCGCTACTAATGCTGTTATCATATACGACATTTGTTGTCGGAACAAAACGTTTGGTGGAACAGTTCTGAGAATCGCTCTTCTGCAAAATAGGGTTCGCATCTTCACTTGGTAAACAGGCTGAAAGCCAAACAAGAAACAGTTATCGCTCAGACGTTTCCTTTCAAGTGACGTTTGCTCCTTCGTGCTGTTTTGTATAGCTCACACTCTTTTCGTTTTAAACTTTATTGTTAGTTATGGAAGATAATAGAAAGGTAATTGCTATCAAGTTAATCACTTTGAGCTCCACTCTGGCACTTCAAGTAACAGATAAGCACACTTCTGGTTATAGCAATCAATTACATCAGTAATTCAATTACATTCTGTATGCACTAAGAATAGTTTAAATCGTGTGCTGGATAAGTCTATTTATCAGACATTACTTATGTGTATATTCTGATGTCTGCATTCCAATGAAAATTTGATGGCTCACTGGAAAACTGGTGACTTGGTGAAAGCGTTTTCTTGACTAACTTTATGGCTCATAATTACTGATCTGTCCATAAATATAAGCAAACAGACAAAAAAAAATCTAGACCTTCTATGACAAAAATCCATATGGCTGATATTTACATCCTCACAGCCAGCAGATACTATTCAGCAAAATGAAGATTAAATGAAACATATGAATACATGAACAATCAAACATGTGCGAGTTGTTTACTGTCCCATAAAACACTCAGTAATATACCTAAAACACATTAATTATACCAACTCTAGAAATTAGGAGGTGCGCATGATGAGTTTGTTTTATGTAATTACGGGAAAGCCTCGAGGGATATCTGCATAACAGAAGGCATCCTTATGTAGAAGATTTTTTGAAACTGGCTCGTATACCAGTTACAAATGAAGAAAACCAAGAAGACGCCCATCTAGCCAGCCCGTTCGCGGCATTCTAACCTCAGACAGAACTACCAGTGTTCAACGACGATTCGGCCACTAGTAGGCCCGTGCACATAATTAGAAAGTACAATGCATTATGTAAACATACATGAAAGTTATAATCAGTTGTGCACTGTTTTAAGTAATCAAATGTTATAAATGCACGGCTGTTACATTTCTTATTATTTATTAGCCATGTTTATATTATGTAGTTATACATATGATATAATTATGAATTCAACCAAAAACAAAATGTGTACACACTTTAGTACTCAAATTTTCATCAATTATTTTTCAACTGATCATTGCATATCCATAATAATTTGCAAATAACTGATGACTACAGTTACTGCCAATTACATGATCGTTATATGAATT